GAGCTGAAAGTCGTATCAAAAGTAGTGTTAACCGTCATTAGAATATCCTGAAAGTTTAAGTTGAAAATGTTGGTCTCTTGTTGTAATATTGTATTTTCAAATCAATCGCTATTGTGCATTTCGTTTTGTAAGAACCGGGAAACATAAACATTTCTTCCATATTTACTATCTCAGCGAGAGACCAACATTTTCAACTTAAACTTTCAGGATATTCTAATGACGGTTAACACTACTTTTGATACGAATTTCAGCTCAAACTTCCTACGTTTGACTATTTGCCCTCCTCCACCCCCAACTGCCCAACATTCAGTAAAACCCATATAATTCGGCTCCAAGGGCCCATCAGCCCTAATCCTTTTAGGAGTATACTAGTCTAAAAGATTCCTACATACACCCAAGATATCAGCTCAAAAGCGACTGGACAGTTGGGACGATCCCCTCGTCAGTTTCCGCTCGAAGATATTGTACAGGAAAATTTTTGTCCCTATCTTATAAAGCGAATATAAAATAACATACCAACTCAGTATTTTTCGTGTCGGTGAAAACGTTTGTAGGTGCGTGCGCCCGAAATTCATTGTTTTTGAGTTGGTAGTTTCTTGTATTTGGACACTACTGATAAAGAACACTCACCTTTGTTGTATTAAATGCTAAAAGGTAAAGAAAAGTCTTTCACTGTAAGTCATTGCATTTTTTCCTTCTATGTGTTGACGTCACCTTTTTATATACGACAAATAATGGTTTATTCTTATTTTGTGAAAGAATCTACTGTGAGAGATATTTGTCGTCTTTGTTATGACCCGTATAAATGATAAGAGGCAAGCAGAGTAATGTGAAGAACATTATTCTATAATAATAAAAGCAGATGAAAATGCCAAATAACGACGTGAATAACGGGCCAGTAGTGCATGCTCAATATTTTGAGACAAATTCACTCCTAAGAAGAGAATAAATAGCGGGTTATTCCCAACTGTCTCTTACGCAGAAAAGTTGATGTCTTAGTCCAAAAGTGCGTTAATGTCAACTTTACAGTACATATGATCTAATTGAAAACTATGGGCGTAAGCGGATAACTCAATAGATTTCAATGCATGTATTGAAGAACACTATTTTTACTTCTCTAGTTTTAAGCTATTGTCTGAATAGTATCCTGCTTAAAAACAGACCATTCACATATTCGCCTACGTGTGCTATTTTTATTGAAGTCCCTGCCTTTATAATTCTAATATTAATCATTTATCACGTTTGTGGCGTATGAAAACATTAGAAATTTATTACTTACATTAACATATTCGTTGTTTAGATCAATTGGTATTTAGTGATCGGGTTTGTCCTTGACCTATGAATAAAGATCAGCAAAGTAAAATAATAGCTATCATCAACTAATCTATTCTTTATGCCATACTCTTTTCTTCTATCATTACGATTGTAATTTCTATCTATCAAATTTTAATCCAGCGCACCAATAATACTTATTTTATTGCAACAATGTGTCTTTTGTCTCCTTTACAATTTCTGTTCATTTTCTTCCCAATAAAATATTTTCAATCTGCATCGTTTGACAAAATCATTACTTCAAAGTAAAAATTGCGACAGTCATAGTTACTCTGAATAATTGCTATTTTTGTTGAGTAAACAGTCACAAACGAATCGTCGTCATTGTAACAAAGTAAATAGTTTCACATTGAAGAAACTGTTTGTTAACTTTGTCTACATCACATATTTTTTGTCGGAAGAAAAACAAACTTCACTTTTTTTACCAAGTTTCTCTATACTATTTCCTGTTTAATTTGATTGAAATACAAAGTGTATATTGGAAGAGTATGCGTGTAAGAATGAGTCATTTGTCATTCGTAAATGCAGTACAGCTCCATTCTGTCTCCAATTCACAGCAACTCTAAAAATTCTATTTTATTAAATCAATTATTTCATTTTTCTTTCACATACAAAATAAATCTAGTTGATGTTTCGTTCATGGATTTTGTGTTGTAACTGCATGACGAGTCTGTAACGGTCGATCATTGTTTGTATGAGGATGTATTTGTGTATGTCTTGTATACGGGTTTAAAATTTGTAAATTGTTGTTTAGATATTTACGCACTTTGTCGGTAAATATGATGTTGAGCAACATCCATACACTATAACCAAATGAAATATAAATAAAACTGACTCTTTGTGCATATGGTATTGTTGGTGCATGAGGAAAAAATTGAGCACGAAGAAAGAAAATCAAGTATGAAAAACTCATAAAGAAAATTACACCAACAATAATAATAAGACGACGAATCAAACGAATCTCACGTTGTTTCCGTCGAAGACCAGCCACTGTTGCTAATGAACGTTATTTGGTAAAATACAATTCGAATATAAATTGGTGTAATAATTACAAGTGGACAGAAATAGATAAACATAGCCAAATACAAGAAAATAACGAGATCATTCAAGGATGCGTAAAATAAACAGATGTTCAATGTTTTTCCGAAAAAAAGCAACAACAAATCCTACTTGACAGATACGACTACCTGGCTGAGAAACAATTCGACCAAAAATTAACGCAGGTATGGCAAAAGTAATTGAAATTAACCATTGACTTATTGTAATAAATATCATCATTTGTTTCGATTGGAGATAACGTCGTGTTGAGAAAACCACGACAAACAATCGATGAATTGTTTGTACACAGACTGTTTGATATAAAAGACCACTCGCAGCATGAAGAAGAAAACCGCGAAATGCACATAATCTATTATTTCCATCTGATTCTAATTGATACACAGCTTGATTAGCGCATACTATATTGATAATCAAACCAGCAATTGCTGAATTGAATGCAAGTAGAATAATCATTGTCCAGAATCGACGATGAAGTATTACAATCACGATAAAAATAAGGGCGCATATCACACCGAAAATACTGCATAAAAGCATCGACAAAGATGATAAGACTTCGAGAACGTCCATCCTGAAACAAAATAATCTTGAGGGTGGGTGAGATGAACTGCCATGACCGGTTTCGTCTTTTGCTCAAGAAGACTCATCAGATGGCCGATGATTTCGTATAATTTAACTTAAAATAAACACTTTCAAAATTGTATTTGAAAAAGTGAGAATGTTTATCCACAATTTATGTCGTCTTACTACATTTCCTGTTGTATTCTGAACCCAGGTCGAACAATCCCATACTCGGATCCCATCGGATCCAATACAGAATTTTATCAGATCCTACAGGAATTCGACGGATCCGATGAAATCCTGGTGACGGAATCGCATTGGATTCCGACGGTCTCGGATCCGAAACATGGATTTCCTGGAT